GGGGGGGAGGTCCACCCGGATCACGTGTAGCTTGGTGTGTTGACCCCGCCTATGTGAGCCTGCCCTGTGATATCTTCTCACTCCAGCAAGCAGCTCTCTTGGAAGATCCCGTGTGTACACCACTGGATATGGTACTCGTGTGTGCCCTCTCCTGCCACGTGGTACTCACACCGCATATCTTTCCGTCAGCTGCTTCTCCCGCTTGCTTGTTCCTTGTCTCACGACGTGAATCTCGTGTAGCTTGATGTGTTGACCACGCCCCTGTCAGGCACTTTCTCTCCCTGCCCTGTGAGAACCTCCCACCCTATCCAGCAGTTCTTCCTGAAGATCCCATGTGTAAGCCGCTGGATATAATGCCACACCATTCGTACTCGCTTGCCGATTCGCGCTCGCTTGCTGAATGCGTGCGTTGTGGGCGTTCCACAATGCCTGCTGGAGTTGCACCAGTCCTCTTCTTGCTGTGTATGATGATGTGTGTCTTTCCATCAGTTGCTTCTTCTGTTTGCTTGATTCTTGATCTCCTCTTTCGGATAGTTGTCCTTGGTTAGTCGGCTCAGTCCACTGTCATCACGCACTTGGGTTGCTTTCAGGGCTTTCTCCGCCGATGTCCACTGGACATGGCGAGAGCAAGGTGATGCCGCCGTGTCCATCCAAGTCTTTGACCGCTACAATCAAGGCTGCGGCTATGGAAGTCGTTTCGCGGAACTTGTGTCCTGGGGGAGGGATGATCCTCCCTTCCCAATCGGATGAGTATCCACACCAGCCTGTGCTGTGGTGTCATCCAGCGCCTCGAAAAAACCGTGTGTGGGTTAAGAGTCCTGCTCATTCGAGCAGTATTGTTGTATCCTACTCTCTCCTACTCTCTCCATCCCCTTTCATCCACCAGTCCCACTTTACCTGTGTTCTCCGATCTGACACGGTTCAGTCCAGGTACTGCCTCACACAATATCTGGATTTTTTGGCCCCCTTAAAAAAAAGGCAACATACAAAAAACTTGAAAAGAGAAGTGAAGCAAAACTCAAATGAAACAAGTCAAACAAGAGCCAATGAAGTCGTCAGTTACAAGTTGGAAAAATGCTAACCCTAAACCCTAAATCCTGGACTCCAAAAGCTGAGCATAATGCTGTTGCTTTTCGAAACTACGCAGGAGTCACAAAAAAGACTTTGAAAATGAACTTTGGGCCACGGCTGGGCCGGCAACCGGCCGGTTGCCCTGGCCCGGTCCAACCGGGGCCAGACTGGGCCAGGGGGGGTCAACCGGCAAACCGGATGGCCCAAAACAATGGCCAATTTTATTTATTTATTTATTTGCGGGATCCGACTGCGCTTGCCGAGATCTGTCTGATTCCGCACTAAAACTTCGAATGTTGGAAACTTTTTTGGGGGGTCGTGCCAGGAGAGTGGGGGGGGAGAGGGGGGATGAAAAAAATAAATAAACTTAATGGCTATGGCTAACGGAGGAGGAGGAGGGAGAAGAAGAAGAAGATGACGAAGAAGAGGGAGGAGAAGAACAAAAGGAGGAGGAGGAGGAAGAAGAAAATGACGAAGAAGAGGGGAGAGAAGAAGAGGAGGAGGAGGAAGAAGAAGAAGAAGAACGCAAGGGAGTTGAAGGCTTGAAGCAGCAACCGAAAAAAAAAAAAAAACTTACGGCTATGGAGGAGGAGAAGAAGAGGAGGAGGAGGAGGAGGAGGAGGAGGAGGAGGGAGAAGAGAGGAGAGAAGAAGTGGAGGAGGAGGAGGAGGAGGGAGAAGAAGAAAAAGAACGCAAGGGAGTTGAAGGCTTGAAGCAGCATCGAAAAAAAAAAAAAAAGAATTAACAGCTATGGCTAACGGAGGAGGAGAAGAAGAGGAGGAGCAGGAGGAGGGAGAAGAAGAAGAAGATGACGAAGAAGAGGGAGGAAAAGAACAAGAGGAGGAGGGGGAGGAGGAAGAAGAAAATGACGAAGAAGAGGGGAGAGAAGAAGAGGAGGAGGAAGAGGAGCAGGAGGAGGAGGGAGAAGAAGAAGAAGAACACGAGGGAGTCGAGGCTTGAAGCAGCAACGACCAAAAAAAAACTGCTATGGCTAACGGAGGAGGAGAAGAAGAGGAGGAGGAGGAAGGAGAAGAGGAAGAAGATGGCGAAGAAGACAGAGGAGAAGAAGAAGAGGAGGAGGAAGCAGAGGGGAGAGAAGAAGAGGAGGAGGAGGAGGAAGAAGAAGAAGATGAAGAAGAGGGAGGAGAAGAAGAAGAGGAGGAGAAGAAGAAGAGGAGGAGGAGGAGGGGGAGGAGGAGGAGGAGGAGGTTGAGGAGGAGGAGGTGGAGGAGGAAGAAGAAGAGGAAGAACGCAAGCCGATGGCTAAGAGAGGAGGACTAGAAGAGGAGGAGGTAGAAGAAGAAGAAGAAGAAGAAGCGGAGGATGGCTATGGCAAACGGGCGAGGAGAGTGACCACAAAGAAGAAGAAGAAGAAGAAGAAGAAACAAACCTGGGGGAGTGACGGAGTGGCTCATCGGCGGGGGGCGCGATGGCGCGGCTGGCTGGCCGAGGCGACAATGGCGATGATGCACCCCGCGGAGACCTACCTACAATGGCGCGGTTGCACCAAGTGATGGTGCGGCTGGCTGGCGGTGGCGATGATGGCGCGGCTGGCTGTCCGAGGCGACGACGGAGCGGCTGCACAGACTGGAGGTGAGCAGGGTTGAACACGCGATGCGTTTTACCCCGCTGCACGATTCGGTTTCCCGCCAGAAGTGATTCAAAACAGTGGCCGATCTTTGCCGCTGATCTGCGATGATCGGTGGCCAAAATTGGCCACTTTTTTAACTTAAAAAATGGGGCCTGCAGGGCCCGGCCCCACGAGGCCTCCACAACACAATCGCGCCGCCAAAAAAAAGTTTTCAAGCCCCAGCGAAAATGCGCTGGGGGCGACCGGGAGGGAACTGGCCCGCGCCACCGGCCGGTCCAACCTGGAGGACCGCGGATGGGGTAGGGGCTGTCTCTTATACACATCTAGATGTGTATAAGAGACAGCTTTACATGTTGAGAGAGGTAGTAAGGAGGTGTTAAGCTTATAGAATCCGGACCCGCTCTAGATATGGGACTGGTGTAGAACGATACTCCAAGTGTAATCATC